TAAAGCCAATTAAAAATATAGTCTCCCAACCTGCAACTCTACCTTAAACACCATCTTTTTCAGATTAAACACAAGTTTTAACAATGTTATGTTATATATTATGTAGGTTAATTTTCAACGAGCGTTTTTTTTATATATATATATATATATATATATATATATATATATATATATATATATATATATATATATATATATATATATATATATATATATATATATATAATTTGTAATTTTTGACACAATATCGTCGATAACACGTTACTTTCTATTTGACACACTTTATTATTTCTACAACAGAAGGTACAAATTTATGCATATTGATTACATAAATGTTTATTACACAAATATTTAAAAATTAAACATGAAATTCAGACGATGAGGGTTTTTCAAAGAAAAATACTTTCAGTAAATTATTTTATCGGCAATGGATAAATTAATGATACGGAATTACAATGATCACTTGCGATTAACATCTAACATTTAAGCTGTATTCTTTTTTTCCTACAGAAAATGGTTGAACATAGGAGTAAGTACACCCTGTTCGTCAGTAAAACACTGGCAAATTAATAACTATTAATGTGTTATCACTACTAAATAACAGTTTACAACACAATCTATTTATATGTATTAAATGTCTCACGGTGTTGGAGAATACGATGTTTTTAATGCTTCATTTTAAGCGGTTGTGTTCAATCATGTAATTTTAATATTAACACTGTTGCTGTATCATTTTGTAGCAAGACAGCTGTATTGGTTAAATATATTACAATCATAAATATTAACAAAATATTGTTCAGCAGCTATACCGAATCCATATATGTACTTTTCTTTAATTCAAATTTATTTATTGGTTTGTTATTAATCGTGTTTGTTATGCAGGTCTCTCGAGCGTATATAAACTTGTGGATGGCCCAATAAACTGGTTTGATGCTAAAGATAAGTGTGAAGCTATGGGTTGTATACTAGCACAACCCAAATCTGAACATGAAAACAACGTTATAAAGGATGTACTACCAACAACAGTTATGTGTATGTCGTAATTGTAGCAAGTCTAACTGCTGTCTATTAAGGATTTTAATCATAAAACAATGAAACCTTTTTATATGTAGCCCAGTAATTGCTTTCACTTGCCTAGTTTTATTTTGAATTCAATAGCTTATTATTGGATTGGGGTGATCGATCTGAACCACGAAGGGCGATTCACTTACTACACTGACGATCAAGACATTGTATACAATAATTGGGATGTAAACCAGCCAGACAATAGTGACGGAGACCAACACTGTACTGAAATTGAGTAAGTAAAGGTAATGTCATCTAAAAGTAAAGTAAAGTTAATATTATAATTAAGAAGAATGCGGATAAATTATAGTTTGGAATAATTGTTTCTGTAGTACACTCAACTACATCAATAACCAATAGATTACGAAGACAATCTCGTTGAACAAAATTATTGTGGCCTAGGCAGTTATATTTCAGTCAATTAATTTATATTTTACAGTGCCGAATCAATATGGAGTGACTTTCCCTGTAATTATAAAAGCGAAGGCGCAATCTGCGAGTGTGAGTATAGTGATTGATTTGTCTCCACAATAATATCAGGTGCACTGTCATTCGAATGTATTAGTGGCAACTCACGCCTTTGCCAATTAAATCATTCCTATAACATAAATTGATTGATAATTATGAACAATTATGATATAAAGAGCCATTTTTGTGTATTTCCACTTTTATTTCGTGTGATGTACAGAAGCAGAACATTCATACATAACGTGTGAGTTGATGTTTTTATTAGGCCATCCTCCTCCTGGTGCGAGTGGTGATCCTCATATGAGGACATTCGATAGTCGTGCATATACATTCCAAGGAACATGCTGGTACATTCT